GAGAACACTACCAAATGTTTTACACAGAAAATACCGAGAACACTACCAAATGTTTTACACAGAAAATACTGAGAACACTCAAATGTTTTACACAGAAAATACTGAGAACACTCAAATGTTTTACACAGAAAATACTGAGAACACTACCAAATGTTTTACACAGAAAGTACTGAGAACACTACCAAATGTTTTACACAGAAAGTACTGAGAACACTACCAAATGTTTTTATTAAAAAAACACAGGCTACAATTTAGAAATGTAAATATTGCAAATACTACAAAATGTTTTCTATACGAAAAAGTATACAAATACTTCAGCACTATTCAATATTTATACATAAAAAAATTACTAAATACATATAATTAATTTAAATAACTAATTATTATCATTAAAATATATTTTTAAAGTATTAATAATAAAAACATTAATTAATGTAAGAAGAATACATGAAAATCCAACTTACATGAATGATTCAGCAACTACATATGTTGCTTAACATCAAGAGAAAATGGTTTTATATGTTCCAGTTAAGTTCAAGATAAACAATTATTCAAATAAGGCTATTGCAGAACTGCTTTCAATGCTGTTCAGAAATTAAAACAAAAAAAATATATATATATTAAATTTTTTAAATCACTATCAGATAAGACTCTGATAAACGATTTGTTTAGACACGTGTTCAAGTATAATTTCATTTTCATAATTTATTTTCTTTTTTTTATGTTTAAAATATATTTAAGTCTACTTTAAAAGCCGAATTTATTAGGCTCTTTTTTTTTTACTGTAAATTTTTATATTATTGCATTTAACTTAATTTATTTATTTATTAGAGAAAATGTCAACTGTGTTGATTACATCAGTTTTAGATAGTCCAGTTCAAAGAGCATTAGTAAATATAACAACAGGTTAAAGTAGAGTTTATCTATGATGATAGTAGTGTTTTATCAATCTTTGTTTATGTAAACTTTGAAAAATAAGAAGTAATTTATTTTCTAAGAATGTAGGAAGTGAATAAATATTTTTATGTAACATCTCATTGCATCAATTATAATTTTAAAAAAATTAATTAAAATTTAAATTATTACTCACTGGCTCTTCCAATTCCTATAACACGTCCTTCTTGATCAACGTGTTTTAGAAATCCCATAATTTTAGTATCAGTGCATTTTTGTACAGATTTAGGATCTAAATTTTTGAATATTTCTTTATAATGTTTTCTAGAATAACAATAATTCTTTAATAATTTATAGGCTCTTTCTCTTTCAAATTTTCTAGCGCGCAAGAAGCATAATAGGAATGCATCATCAATAGGACAATACAACTGTTTATCATCTAAAAATAATTATTATTATAAATTTTAAAAAAAAACTCTTTAAATGTTTATAATTAATTAATATAATTAATTAAATATTTACTTAAAATTAATTCTTTAAATGACTGTAATTCTTTCTGAATCCATGGTTGCTCCTTATTAGCTTCAGGAATGACACCAATAACAATATCATTATCCATTTTCCTAATAGAAATGATTTAAAATATATTATTTTTTTTTTTAAATGTATAAAATAATCTTTAAATCTAAATCTTTTACTATATTTTTTTAATTATTTGTAATTCTTAATTGCTTACAAATTAAAGTAATATTAAAAAAAAACACTGACTTAAGTGATAAAGACAATGCAAAAAATTAATAATTTTTTTCTGATAGGAATTTAATCAGTTATTAATAAAAATTTGGATTAAATTATATTAATTTGCTGATAAAATTAAAAAATTAATTAAAGTTTAAAAAATACAAATTTAATTAATTATATTGACAAATATTATTGATTGTTTTATAAATGTTTTTATATAAGAAAACCTAATTATATACAATTATTGCATTTAAAAATGCACACACTGTAAATACAGTGCTATCAAAATTTTTATACAAAAATATAAATACTACACTTATAATTTTACATTTACGCTAACTTATATTGACAAATGCTACTTATTTTTAAAAAAAAAAAATTTAATATTTTCCTACAAAAAAAAAATACAAAGACTACAATTTGATAAATGTAATACTACAGATATTGCTAAATTTTTTTATAAAAAAACATAAATGCTATAGTTTAAACATGTAAATATTAAAATACTACCAAGTGGTTTGTACAAAAAGTTCAGATGCTACAATTTAAAATGAAAATACTGAGAACACTACCAAGTGGTTTGTACAAAAAGTGCAGATGCTACAATTTAAAATGAAAATACTGAGAACACTACCAAATGTTTTGCATTCAAAATACTGATAGCATTACCAAATGTTTTACACGGAAAATACTGAGAACACTACCAAATGTTTTACACAGAAAATACCGAGAACACTATCAAATGTTTTACACAGAAAATACCGAGAACACTACCAAATGTTTTACACAGAAAATACTGAGAACACTCAAATGTTTTACACAGAAAATACTGAGAACACTCAAATGTTTTACACAGAAAATACTGAGAACACTACCAAATGTTTTACACAGAAAATACTGAGAACACTACCAAATGTTTTACACAGAAAATACCGAGAACACTATCAAATGTTTTACACAGAAAATACCGAGAACACTACCAAATGTTTTACACAGAAAATACTGAGAACACTCAAATGTTTTACACAGAAAATACTGAGAACACTCAAATGTTTTACACAGAAAATACTGAGAACACTACCAAATGTTTTACACAGAAAGTACTGAGAACACTACCAAATGTTTTACACAGAAAGTACTGAGAACACTACCAAATGTTTTTATTAAAAAAACACAGGCTACAATTTAGAAATGTAAATATTGCAAATACTACAAAATGTTTTCTATACGAAAAAGTATACAAATACTTCAGCACTATTCAATATTTATACATAAAAAAATTACTAAATACATATAATTAATTTAAATAACTAATTATTATCATTAAAATATATTTTTAAAGTATTAATAATAAAAACATTAATTAATGTAAGAAGAATACATGAAAATCCAACTTACATGAATGATTCAGCAACTACATATGTTGCTTAACATCAAGAGAAAATGGTTTTATATGTTCCAGTTAAGTTCAAGATAAACAATTATTCAAATAAGGCTATTGCAGAACTGCTTTCAATGCTGTTCAGAAATTAAAACAAAAAAAATATATATATATTAAATTTTTTAAATCACTATCAGATAAGACTCTGATAAACGATTTGTTTAGACACGTGTTCAAGTATAATTTCATTTTCATAATTTATTTTCTTTTTTTTATGTTTAAAATATATTTAAGTCTACTTTAAAAGCCGAATTTATTAGGCTCTTTTTTTTTTACTGTAAATTTTTATATTATTGCATTTAACTTAATTTATTTATTTATTAGAGAAAATGTCAACTGTGTTGATTACATCAGTTTTAGATAGTCCAGTTCAAAGAGCATTAGTAAATATAACAACAGGTTAAAGTAGAGTTTATCTATGATGATAGTAGTGTTTTATCAATCTTTGTTTATGTAAACTTTGAAAAATAAGAAGTAATTTATTTTCTAAGAATGTAGGAAGTGAATAAATATTTTTATGTAACATCTCATTGCATCAATTATAATTTTAAAAAAATAATAATTGTAAATAGTAAACAATGAGAGTTTTTATAATTTAATTTTTTTAATTTTTAAATAAGTATAATTAAACTTGTTATTTATAAATTCTAAACAATTACATATAATATTACAACAACAGAACAGAACAATTATTACAACAGAAAATTATGGGTTTTTTTTTGGTAAATTAATATGAAAATATTGCATAAAATTCAGGAAATTTGTAAATTTTACTTTAGTATATAACAGAGGGAAACTTTTGGACTCAGGAGACCTTGAAACTTGAAGAAATGCAAAAAAGTTTGAGATATTTTCTGTATGTATGGATGTTAGTGTATGTGGGAGTGTATGTTTTTTCATCCACTTTGAAGCTTAATAACTCCTGTACTTTTTGTTGAAAAATTCTGAAATTTTACAGGGATATTTGGGCATCGAGAAGAAATGTTTCTAGAAGTTTTCAGGAAAATCGAATCATTGGTTCGGGAGATATGGGCCCCACCTTTTAATATCCCCCTAAACCAATTTTAAGATATAAAGATAATGACAGCAATTATTAGGGATAAAAACAAAGAATGGCAAAAAAGTCCAGCAACAACGTTGCCAAAATATATCCAAAAACATCACCTTTTTTAATTTTATATTCATATAATATTAATAATGTAATAATTATTTTTATAATTGTTAAAAGATAGTTGCCATTAATCCTACTTATACAGTACTATACAATCAACAGTTTATTTACTATACAGTGCAATATTTATATACCTTAATTTGCACAGAGAGGTTTACATAGTACACAGAGGCCTTAACACAGTATATAATGTACTATAATACTGTATACAGTACTGTAAAATACAGTATATACTGTACTTCATTATGACAATAGGAAAATAAAAGAAAAAATACAGAATTCTGTAATTAATTGTATTATTAGTAGTCTAATAATTACAATAAGATTGCAACACAATTATACTGTTAATTATTGTATTAATAATAATAATGTTTACATATTAATACTTAATTTTACTTACTGTATTAGTTGCTAATACTTACCTTTTATTTATTGTATTAGTTATTAGTACATACTTCTTAAGTACTGTCACTTTTAGTTATTGTATCAGCTACTTGATTATAATTAACCTGCTTATATTTATATATTAATACATTTTTAATAAATTGTCCTTTTAAATAAATCGCTTAAATCACGTTCCATTTGTATAAAAAACACGGTTAAATGACCTTCATTTGAATAAAGTGTCGATGCTAGGCCAAGGACAGAAGGTACACGTGCTTTTAATTTCATAATATTGAGAAATCTAACATTTAAACTAAGGTTATATCGAAAGTAGAGCTGAATGACCTAACGTGACCTATGACAAATATCATAATATAAGTCTGTAAGTTTGCCTGTCCGTAATATTTTCTAAAAATTGAAGGATGTAATTATATTTTTTTGAAATTCCTCCTCCATTTTAACTGTACAAATGAACTTTTCCTATAAATATTTTATAAATATGAACGAAAAAAACTGGTTATCAAAAGAAAACACCATGATTTAGACTATAAAATTTAAAATTTAATTAAATAATATATGATACAATAAATTAAAAATGTATTTATTAGTAAATAATATATAAAACAACATTATAAAAATGAATTTTTACCTGTAAACTTGTTTTTTTCCCCCCTCATATAACTTTGATCTATATGTTACAAGGAACGTACAATATACATATATATATAGGTCAGGATTTTTAAGACTTACATTCATACGTCACTTAAATTGTCATTGACTTACTTTAAGATTACAGTGTACACAACAAGATATAAATTGACAAATAAAATTTGCTGTACTAAATCAGTTTTAAGGAACCATTTACATGTAAAATTGAACGTATCCTATAGTTTTCTATGGCCGTTTTTTTTTGTTGCTGGTATGAGTTTACAACAACGAATTTGCAATAGTTAACAGTGTACAGTACAATAATTACAGTTATTATATACTAATAAATGCAATTAATGAACAGTAATTGTAATTATATTATGCATATAAGATACAATAATATAATTTGCAACATATAAGTATATAGTAGTTGCATTATTCTCAGCATCTTTCCTTATAAGTAATCATAAAGGTGCATACTTATAAGGAAAAACTACAGTTTATCTAGTAATTAAAATGATGATTTAGTTTAGTTATTATTATTAACTATAATTACAAATTACTTAGCAGTTAAGCTATAAAAATTACATTTTATCTAGTAACTAGCAACCATATTTAGGCTTTTTATCAAGTAACTAGGAAGGAATTTTTGTAGTATCTAGTAACAAAAAATTGCAATTTATAATCTCTTATCAGTTATTTATAAATAGTTTTATGCTCACCATCACATGCCATTTAAATTATGTATTCACATATAAATTTCCATAAGTGTAATTAAGTAATGCACTAATTAAATAAGTAATGTACTGTACTAATTATCTATATAATTACAGTTGATTTTTTTCAGAAAAAAAAAAAAGAAATACATTTTTAATGTTGTAATATAAAATATTTAAAAAATCAATATATAAAATTCTAAAACAAAAAAAAAATTTCTGTAAAGGGTGGCCCAAAAATCCGTTAACTGGGTGATTTTTTTTCTTTGCTGAAAATTAATAGAAACTTGATTAAGTATTTAAATATGATCAACAATGATTAAAAGCATGGTTTAAAATGTTTGTCTTTACAACAGTTAACTGACTTTTGGTCCACCCTGTGTATATTTTTATCATAGAGTTTGTTTCCAAGTTTTTTCGTTGATATGGAAAAATTCTTCGTTATCTTTAAGTATCTGATTAGCTTTAGTCGTATCGAAAGTCGATAATTGTCCATCGAAATCAGCCGGAAGATACTTTGGATTGACGAATTTATGCAGTGATTTCATATCTGATCCATGGAAATGCATCTAAAATATTAATTTTTTTATAATTAATATATATTTAATTTTTTTTAAATAGTGGTTTAAGTTTTTTTTTTTTTTATAAACTTCAAAAACCGTGATTAAATGATATAATATCAAAATAGCAAAGTTTAATGATTAGATAAGATCATAAGTGACATTTCTTTTTGGTTCTAACGAATATAATTTTTATAGATAACAATTTTGTTGATAAAAAAAAAGAAATATTATGTTAATTTGAATTATCAATGATCTATTTATTTTTATCATTAATTATCATTTATTTTAGAGGGTCTTCTTGGTCTTGTCTGAATTAAATTTGGTGTGAGGATGGAAGTTAAGATGTTAAAATTATCCTGAAAATTTCGTGACTACTGAATTTCGTTTTCAAGAAATCAACCCCTATTTAGGTGTTAGACACGTGGAGAGAACCCATAAAACACGTGGCCAGCCTATATTGGACAGGCACGAACCTACGACTACTGTTCAGTGATTTTATCCATTGTTACTAATGAGACAAGGCAACACAACACGTGGCTCGCGGGAGGACTTTCTCTGGGAAATCGGTCCCTATTTAAGTTTAAGTATTGAGACGTGAAGAAAATCCGGAAAATTCCACGTGACTAGTCCTTGAGTCTAACTACCAGTGTATAGTAGTTATACTGTACACTGGTAGTTGGTCAGTATTGGTCAGTGTACAATGTTATATCTACTCGGCCATTGATGGGCCTGGAATAATATGGACTGATACGAATATGAATAACACGAGAAACGTGTTTTTATAATGGTGAAAACTATGTAAATTTACTTCCTCCCTCGGCATTTCCTCAATGCTAAGAGTTTTCTTCATCCGGAAATTTTATTCAACTTTTTCTTCACTCTACCTTCTTAAGAATAGTGTAACCATCCCTTTACAAAGCCACCCTTTTATTTTGTCATGTTTTCCTCGAGTTAAATAGGTTAAATTCTAGAAATAAATCACATCTATCTAACAGCACTTTCACTCACTTCAATTAAGTAAGGGGGTGATAATGACAATACAGTTTTTATTAATATCGTCTCCCAGTTTTTGATGCATTAACAATAGTAGTGTACTAAATAACATAATATAAATAGTAAAACAAATCACTGTGTGTATATATATATACATATATAAGTCATATTGTCTCACGTTTTTAATTAATATTTTATCAGTTTATATTTTTAGTTTGAGGAAATGTTTGTGTTCCTCATATTAGATTTCATGTACTTTTGCTAATTCATATACGTACAAAATCTATTGTTTTTTTGTAAAATAAAAGAAAGTCGAAATTTAATGCTAATTTTCTTCGTCTGTTCGTTTGTCTGTCCTAATTAATCTAGATAAACTAAATTGATAGGGATTTTACGCAATCGCTTGAATGTTATTCATTCATTTTTTAAACACATTTTATTTAAGTAAAGAATTAAAAATAATTATAATTTAAATTAATTTCCAATTACTTATATTACTAAATTGATACTTCAATGTTTTTCCTGTTTATTTTTTAGTTAATTAACTATATTATTCCAGTTTAATTTTATACATATTAAGGCTTGAGATAAGTATCTTTCCCTAAATATTAAACTAGTTCAATTTAATTTATCGAATAGTAAAAAATTAAATTATAAAAAAAAATAAGGTTAAGAGGGGTGGTATATACCCTGTCTAGCCCTTTCCTGAATACGCCTGTAACTGAAACACTCCGTAGTAATTTAAAATTTCAGTGTAGAAGACACTTTAATCTACCTAAATAGGGGCAAGTTTCTCATAGAAACTGGTCCCCTATTTAGGTATTACAAACGTGATGGAAACCCGGAAAACTCCAAGTTGGCGAGGTTCGAACCCACACCTTAAAACTGTTTGGTGATATCAAGAGTGGGCGAAAAATAGCGCGATCGAATTATGTCTCGCTCAAGGTCACTCTCTGTATACAGCTGTATTTATATAGAAGAAACAGTATATATAGAATGAAAGTTATTTATTGATTTCTATAAATAAAATCTCACAAATATTGGTATTCTTTTTAAAAATACTCGATTAATCGTTCCTTCAAAATCAATTTCTCTACCTAGAATATGCGCAAATATGCTCAAAAACGCAAATAAGTTGGGTAAATTTATTATTTAATATATCTCTCTCCCTGCATATTAATGCCTTTCAGCCTATTTATAATAAGGTTAAGAGGTGACTTGTGTTCTTTCTGTCCAACCCTAAATACAAAGTTGATTAAAATGCACTATTTTTCCTCTCTCTGTCATGCCTCACTCGGTGAACCTTTTTTTTTTTTAACATATCTATCGTGGGTTCGGCCGGGTGATGAGGGACGAGTTTCGACCTAACCTGGAAAGACCAAGAAATAATTCCTGTGTCCCCCCCAGATTCGATCCAGGGGCCCCGTAGCAATAGGTTGATAACTTGGTCGTCGTAAAAGGCACTTTAAGATACTTAATTAGAAGCCGTAAAACTCTTCCTCCACGTGTCTGAAGGTCACGCTCTATAAACTGTTATATTTTTAATGTAGGAAATATCGATATAAAATAATCGATTAATCTTACTTCCGTGATCGATTTTATAACTTGGACACTGATGTTAATTCGCGAGATTATTGTAGTATAGTCTTTGTCTCGTCTTTTCCTCGTGAAGTAGTCTTGTTTAACATCACTGAACATGGATAAGAACTGTGCAAATATGATAAGAGACACACTGAACCAAAATATTCATAAAGTGTGGGTTAGAATTAGGTGAGACATATAAGAGATATAACTCTTATTTTATTTTAAATCAATCGTGTTGAAATTCATACATATTAAATTACACGATATTAAAAACATATCCCAGTGAAAATTTTCAAATATCGCAACTTTATTCTTCAGACAGTCTTTTCACGCTATCTTGATTGAAATTGTCCTTCTGTGTTTGAGGCGACATGCTCTGCTTAGTAATAAAATCTTTCTTCAGTTGGATGGAGCTTCATCTCATTGGGCACGAAAGAGATTCTTGCAATTCTGAATAAATCCTCTTCCCTGGGTGCTGAATTGGGTACGGTAGTGATAACCCATGACCTCCGATATCGCCTGACAATACCTGTCCGCATTTCTTCCTTTGTAGTTTTGTGAAGGATTGCATTTATGTGATAAAGCCGTTCTCTATTCAGGAACTTGTACATGGAATTGTGGCGATTGTGACATTAAAAATGTCAAAAACTTTCAGGAAACAAAACGCCAATGAGCGTGTGCATTGGCATTGCAGGCGGTCATATTGAAATACTTCTCCGGAATACTATCATGTAATTTAATGTGCATGATTTCAATACGATTGCTTCAACATTGATGCGCTGATCCTCGTTCACGGGAAGATAATTACGGCCCACTCTGTACTTAATTTATTATTTAACTTTAATTTAGTTAATTTTTACAAAGCAACTGCACAAAAATAGAAGTCCTCTTGTGAGGCAGCCTCCCTTAGCAAGTGTTGAGTTCCCTTATTCTATCGCTTCTCTCCTCCTCCTCCTCCTCCTCCTCCTCCTCTTTTCTTATATAATTTTTTACACTATTATTTAGAATTTTACAAAAAAATATATAATAAAAACTTACTCTTTTTCTGAGTTTGTAAGGCATCAAAGGATATGCAATAGTCATAATTGCTTGAAATAGTCGATTCATGTTGACAAAATGTATTTCTTTATAGCGTATTTGATACGAATCCTGAAAGAAAATATTGAATTTTAACATTTTAAATCTTAAAACACAGTTTAAAATATTTTTATGTACTTACATATAGAGTATCCAGTAATGAAACGATGAAATTCGGTGTAAACTGTACGACATGCTTCCATGTTGTATCTTTTGTATTTATAATTACAACAATGCCATTAACTTGGGTACGATGGTAATTTAACTGAAAATCAAAGAATAAAAAGAAGCAACGTGCCACGTCCATGGCACTAATCGATGTATGCCAATGGCCTAAAGATAAATAATGAAAAATATACTTAAAATATACATTATTTTCTTTATAAATTAAATAAATCTTAAGTTTTTTTTTAATAAATTAAGAAAGAAAAATTGATACTCACTGATTCTTGCAACAGCAATGAATCGTCCATCTTGATCCGGATTTGGTAAAAATTGTACAAAGTTGAAATTCAAAGCATTTTCTAACGTTAAAGGATTAAGATTTGTAAAGAAATTTGTATATTTTCTTCTGGCATAATAATAATTTTTTAATAATTTTAACGCTTTATCTCTGTTATATTTTCTGGCTCGAAGAAATCCTAAAAGGAATATGTCGTCCATGCAATGATTCAATTTTCTTTCGACTGAAATTTTGTGTAATAAGTTATATGAAAATATTAAGAAAATTGCTTAAAATTAAAATTAATGCTTAAAAAAATTATAAGTTATGGATTAATCTTGAATAATTTACATATAAATTCCATAAAATCACGCATAAAAATGATGCCATTGCAGCTACCAGCATTTTAAATTACTCCAGATTTTAAATTATATTTTGTATTTTAATAAATTTTTATATTTAATTTTGTTTTATTGAAGGATTTTGTATTATAAATCTCATTTTGCATCTTTTAACTTTAATAATAAATGGCTTCTTCATTCTTGTTAAGTAGAATAAATGAATCCTTATATACAGATGCTACTATGAAAATTATTTTACATTTCTATTTAATAAGCTTCCGGAAAGATGTTGATACCCCACACTTTTGATTAGCCCTGTATCCTTTCAGGTCTTGTGTATAAATCTCATTTTGCATCTTTTAACTTTAATAATAAATGGCTTCTTCATTCTTGTTAAGTAGAATAAATGAATCCTTATATACAGATGCTAATGTTATGCCAAGTAACCTAATTTACAATACTGTTTACAATACTACAATACTGTTTATATTTGAGTTTTAACATATATTTTTCTGTTTTATATTACAAATATACATAAATTCATAACATTCACTAAGAAAAATATTTAAAATTACATAGTTAAATCAGCATTTTAATTAAATATACTGTACAAGTCGATCCCCCTATAACACTATTGATAATTCCGTTTTATAAGAATTCCGTATTGTACGAGTCACTTAGATTTTACAAATACGTGAGCCGCTCACAGCCCGGCACACGTATTTGTAAAATCTAAGTGACTCGTACAACATGAAATTCATATAAAACGGAATTATCAACAGTGTTATAGGGGGATCGACTTGTACTTTAGAATAAAGGGTTCTCTAAATGTGTGCTTGAAAAATAGAATATATTACAGAAATATTTGAAAATAAAACCGTATGAAAATTATTTTACACTTCTATTTAATAAGCTTCCGGAAAGATGTTGATACCCCACACTTTTGATTAGCCCTGTATCCTTTCAGGTCTTGTGTATTATATTATAAATATATTTACATATGTTAATACTTTTTTTAAACTGATAATTAATGAACGTTTGAACCAACATGAAGACCAACTTAATTCACATTTACCATATAAAATTAATAAGAAGTCACGAGTGGTAAGTTTTGTAAATGATAAAACTACTTTAACGTGTTATTTTCGATAATAAATTCTTTACAAGCAAATGAACTTTAGTACCGGTATTTTATCATTTTTCTAACCGATATTTATATCTACTACAACTGATATTAATGAAAGTTATATATAGAAAATAATATCCTGTATCACTTTTTACGTATAGAATCTATGATAGAAACTTTACGATTATAAAGGTATCTCCTGAATTTCTTTCTATTTTCTAAGTACAGCTACTGTAATTTTGTCTCGTGTCTATAAGTTACAATTTTTATTTTTTATGGTTATTTTCTATTTTATAAGCTCCACATACTCCACATACTTCTACATTTTATGACATATATTTTGTATATTCTCTGATATATTATCTGTTTTCTATGATACTCCATATTCTTCTGTATAATATCTTAAGTTACTTATGTCCATGGTCTATCTCTATATCCAATACTTTTTCATTCTGTTTTATAGGATATTTTATATTCTATAATATCTAAATTATCTATGTTTAATGCTCTGTACTCTATGATATCTAAATATCTTATGTTAATGTTCTCTTCATCCAATAGTTTTCTATAATCTGTAATATCTACTGTACATTATCTATGTTGTTTTGTTCTATGCCTATATCCAAAGACCTACATTCTATAATATATATTACCCATGTCCTCTATTATTTCCTATAATCAATAATGCATATGCCCTATTTACTACATACATCTTAAAACCTACATCTTATCTTAAAGCATGAAATAGCCACACATTGAAAATTACTAAAAACAAACTTTTAATTAATTCTAATTTATACCTCTTCTGTATCTTATTAAAAGTAAAAATATTTAATAAGATACAATACAAATAAAAAAAATAAACTTTAAATTTGGTTATTTTCATGTATAAACAAGTTTAAAAGTTAATTAATTTATTTAAAAAAGATTTTTAACTTACTAATTACTTTCTTGAAAGCTTCAAGTTCAACTTCATCCCACGTAAATTCATTAGAATCTTCTAAATAATATTTGCATTTTCTATTCATTTTTACTGCGACTTTACAGAACTGCAGCAGGTCCGAGTATGAGGAAATTCTGCAAATGTTAATCTGTAGACATCAGAAGAAGGAATGGAAAAGTTTTTTTTTTTTCCTTGGAACTAAGTTCATTTTCCTTATTGATAAAAGTCAAGTTTATGTTATTGAACGTAGCCAAAAAAAACAAGAAAAAAAATAAATAAATTTGCTGTTAAAAATATCCAGCAACTAGTTGACAGCTGGATTTTTTAAATTTTGGGCGCCATTTTGAAAAAAATTTGTAAGAAAATCTTCATCGTTTCAAGAGCTTAAAACTCATACGAGTAAAATTTTCATTAAGTTTTACCCCAGCCGAGATATGACCTACGACCCTCTCTATCTCTTCACTCCCTTGAGTTATGTACTCCAAAATTTAATACCATAAATGCCCCTTATACACAAGTTATCGTGCCAAATTTCGTTTTTAAATCTCGACCCCATCCTGAGATATTAAACGAAATAGATGCCAACACATGCACGTATCCCTGGAATTTTTACCCGTTGTTTTTGGCTTTTTTTGGGGGGGTTCTGTTGGTCTCGAAACGTCGAGATTCCAAAAACTCGGATAGTCAAATTTGACACGATTACGTTACTTTCCCGTATTTGTTTACAACAGCCTGGAAGTAAGTAAAACAATATGCACTCAACAGAAAATATATTGTCACGAATGACAATACTTTCTCTACGGGAAATCACCAGAAATATACAACTCTTGACTTTAGATTAACGAGTAAATAACTTAAAACTATTTTACTGGAGCAAAGTAACCAAATCAAACCAGCAAGTCTTTTCAACGATGGTGATGAACTATAATATTGGGATTTGTTTGATTTAGTTATTTTGTACCAGTAAAGCAGTTTTAATTTATTTATTACAACATTAACCTCTCAGTTGCAGAATATATATTTCTGGATCAAGAATATTGAAAGTTTTCTATAGAAAAAATACAGTATGATATAGGGACCAACAGAATTGTTCGATACAGCAAACAGTTATATTGGCTTATGTTATTCTTTATATATTCAATTCAATATTTCAATATTGTATACAGTAAACTCTTAAAATTGCTAATTAAAAAATAATTTAAAACTGATAAGTTATATTAAATCTGTATACAAACTGTTTAGAAGTTCTGGATTTGCTGTAGTTTCATGTATATAAACTTTGTAAAATTTATAATTAATTCTCGGGAACAAATGTAAATAAATTAAGTAAAATTACAAACAGAATCATAAATTTTAGGAATAATTGAAGCTTCGATTATTCTCACTAAGTTAAACATTTCTATGGAATTAATATCTATTAACTAAGTTGGCAGAGTAATTTCAAAGGAGGAGAATAGATAATAATCTTACAGAATTGAAAGAGTTGTTACAAATTGCCTCTTTGTTATAAGATTTTGTTACAATAAATATTATTCTGTAGATTAATACTTCTCAATTGGTCAATTCCCGAATTTATTATTACAACCTTTACTAATATATGACTNTTTAAATTTTCGCCAGTGCTGTGGCGCTGCAATCTTTGGCTATGTCTTGGGCTACTCAAATATTTTACGTTTTTGATACTAAATTAACTTCTGAAGTATAATTTTTTATTGTTTTTATATTTTTAAATATATTTATTTTGTTTGTACAAAATAAAAAAATAACTTTTAACGATACAATAGTCTTCGTTATGCTTAACATCGACAAAAATTCAACGCGAAGCGACATGAAACAGAGAAAAATTTCAACATGGGATAAATTAATATATTTTTTCGTGCATAATCGGTTATCCGAAACATCGATCTTATGAACAACCTCTCCCCAAATGTTTCGGATAATCGACGCTCTACTGTATTATTATAACCGATGAACGTCGATGTATTTTATAATTTGGAGCTATAAGTGTTGTATTTTTATCTATAACTATTCTTCGGTTTAATCGAGGAAGTTAAAACATCATAACAGTTTTCTTTCATTTCCATGTAATAACCAGGAAATATTTAGAAGTCACTACAACGGTGAAAGAAAGTGAAATTTTGGTTACTATTTCCTTGTATAATCAAAACAGTAGCGTGTACTGTGTAGAATGTTAAGTGACTTTTTGAAGTACAAAATGCCCTGAAGAATATTGTATTTAATCACATTTAACACAATTCCTTTTCACTGATATAAATATGCATTTAAATTCTTATCGTTTTGATAATATTTGTTTTACTTTCACAAGAAGAATCCACAATCGTTTTTATTTAAAAAGATAGTGGATTCTTTAAAGAATTTTTAAAGAATCAATTACAGATTCTCTGTTCTTTTAACAGAGGGATCCACAATATATGTATGTACTTGTATTTGATTTGATGTCAGTTTACGTGGACTCAAAAAGTCACTTAACATTCTACACGTTACTGTTTTGATTATACAAGGAAATAGTAACGCAAAAATTTCACTTTCTTTCACCTTTGTAGTGACTTTTAAGTATTTCCTGGTTGACTCAATGTTGCTAAACTGTCGAGGACACCTCTAAACAGACATGAAATATCCCCTAAACTAACAGAATTCCTCCTAAAACTGAAACAAGTTCTCTCTAAATAGTTTTGCACTAGATGCAATGCATATCAAAGAATATATATATATTCCTTTTTGACAATCCATGGACACAAAAATTTTCACTTTAGGGTGCAGGCAGCGTGGGACTGGAGCAAAAGTATCTCGTGCGAGAACACTCATGAGTCATGTGACTTTTAAAAGCTTCTCGTCGTCACTAAAGCTTCACTAACGAATAAGGACAAAATTTACACTCTTACCTAAATTTCCGCTATAAGTTATTTTTCCGCTAAACTTAGGGGAAAACCCTAAATTGGCATCACTATATTATTTCTTATAACCCAACTCTTAGGTAGTAAAGTATTTGACAACAAAAAAAAATTAATTCTGATTTAAGTAATTTTATATTTTATACATATGATACATTAAGATAATACGTATTTAATTTCATTGAAAATATAATAGCTATATCACAGAGTAATGAGTGGAATGGCCATTAACTAGTGCATTTAAACCATCTGGTAGTAAAAAATTGGACTAAATAGTGTATTTGTATTACTGAGAAACCCGTTACTGCGATTAATTTGTTTGTATACGATAGGTAGGCAATCTGCTAAGGGGGTGCCTCCCAGGAGGAGTTTCCGGAAAACACTTGGCCAGTCAGTTGGTGAAACGCGAACTCATAACCAGAGTTCAATGATTTCATCCGCTTGGCCGTTGTTTGGTATGTTAAGGAGGATAAGACCAATCTTCTGAAGACAAGTTACGAGGTGAGATCGTTAACGTTATTGCAGTTACAGGTGCATTTAGACAGAGAGGTGTTTTTATTTACCTCAAATTACAGTGGACAAGGACTGTTTTTTTGAATGTGACTTTAAACAATGTTAAATGTAATAAATTGAGCTTTCCCTTATTTATACGATCTTACAATTTTCTGCTCATCTCTCAATAATGGCCATTTTTTTATGTTGTTCCCGTCAGTGGTCATTGTTTACAGGTTTGACATGTCTGTATATATACAGGTTGGGGCAGAAAGGAGAACGTTTTTGAAATGGCTACAACTCACCATCAGGTAGAATGACAGGCAGCGTGAAAGTAGTGAGGTCTTATCAGTTGAAGGCATGGAGCCGTGGACGATAGAACACCATGTGTTTACGTACGACTGATAAAACAGTCGTATGCGAAGGGGGTCGTTCAGTCATACAAATCTGATGGGAATACGTTTCCACATCCTTGCGTACGATGGAAACGTATTCCCATCAGATATGTGTAGTTTCAACAAGATGGGGCGACGGCCCACACAGCTAAAATAAATTGACGTTATTCGTCTTCTCTTCCTTGGTTGCCTGATTTCCAGGTTCAGTGACATTCATTAGCCTCCTCGTTAGCCCGACCTATCCATGTGCAATTATTTCTTGTGGAGACACCTCAAGGCACGTGTATATGAGCAAGCCCGTTCTTTGCAAGAACGGGAACTGGAAGAAGCTATTCGCATGGAAGTTGCCAAAATCGCCTCCAGAAATGCATCACTGATAGCAGACACCACATAGGAGATGTTTTCCACACTTGATTCTGTAAAATGATATTTCAATACGAACTCACATCTTCCAACCAATATCTTTTCTAGTAACAATTACAGATATTGTGATTTTTTTTTTAAAAACGCCCGTCCTTTCTGCCTCACCCTGTATATAAACCATATATACACAAACACAATTACCATTGTAGAACTGAAGCATATTCAAAAAAATAATTAAATAAAATCACAAAATAATGCCTTGATTTGTATTCAATTGATAGTAATTATATAAATTATTATACACAATTAAAATTAATATTTTAATAATACCAGTATACGAAATAAAAAGGACTGCGTGTCGCGTGCAGCACGCCCGATTTTCTAAAGGAAACTGGCTCCTATTTATGTGTTGAAACTCCATGTGACCAGTCCGTTGGCGAGGCTTGAACCCATGACCTACCAGTATGAGGTGGTTTTATCCATTCGATCACTGGTAGGTACTCCATATTGAGAGTTATCGTGATTTTTTGCTGAGTTTAACGATTTTTACGTTTTTCCGTGTAATATTCCTTCGTCAACGGCTTTTTTATATATATATTTTTTTCAATGATTCATTACTCCAGCTAGTGGACCGGGAGTGTAATTTCAACTTGAAATTAACACTACGAGCGCACGAAGCTCGAGATAATAGCATCAGAGAGACTGCCGGATGGCCGAGCAGTATAGGTGGCAGCCTACTGCACTGGGGAACCCGGGTTCGAATCTGGACTGGGCGAAAAATCCCCAGAAAATTTTTCGGGGTGGTCCGTTCGGATATGTCGGGCCCCGTCTCTCACCACCCGGTCACCCCACTGTGGGCCTGCCGTACCCATAATGGGCCTGCTAAAAAGAGTCCTCTTAGAGCCCACAGGGCGGAGAGTTAAAAAAAAAATAGCATTAAAGTTGAACAGCAGTGCCCACAGACAAAAGGAGGCACAAACCACAGAAAAGGCACATACATTTTGCAAGAAGATTCAAACTGATTTAACATCGAATCAGTGCCCCAGCAATGATCACTGTTGGCCAAAACTTGCCCTGAAAAGAAGGAACATTCCCAGTTTTCAATGCCAAGTTTTGAACAACATACTATAAAATTGCATGGGACAATGGACAAATATCATTCATTAGTTTCTATTATATTTGCATAATAGACTATAAATCAAGACTTTTCTATTGTTTGTTAATTTAAAATGATTTTGGGCCCCTTTGGTTATTAGGAAAAGTCTAACCCATATGAAAAGTGGGCACGACGTGGGCGCCCCGATGACGAAATTAAGACCAAAGGATTTCGCATTAAAGAACTTGCGATTTCTGATAACGTTAACCGCAATAACCGGGTTTTCCTGTTTTTGAATTAATATTTATGCCATTTTGAATTTTTGAAAAACTATTTTACATAGTCGCGATGTTAACTAATTATCAGTTTTAGATCCTGTATAACTACCCTCATAGGTCCTTGGCCATGCCCTCAATGGATATGAGGGATGGAGCCTGACCTACGTGGAACAGACCGATCGTGAAAAATTCTTAGGTTGCCTTTACTTGTTCGTGTTTCAAGTTTCAGAGAAACGGGTATCATCTCGTCCATTTGCACATTGTAATAGGATGAGGAGGACCTGACAAATTAGTCATCCCACCCTTAAAACCCTTACGCGTAAACATTCAGCAGCCATATTGTCGAATAACGATCTCTGTTATGATTGCAGGAGTTTTCTTACGCCGGAAGTGACATCATTCCTGTCGTAACATCGCGATTTATACCAAATCTTCACTCCTTCACGCAGGTTAAAGACCTTTTCAATGCGCCGACGACAATTCTCTTTTCAGTACTTGTGGGTTCGACATTGGAGATATACTGTTCGAATTTTCTTTTTACTGATGCTATATTCGAAATTCCAGATCACGAATACTTTCTAATATTCGCCCATCTACATGTATTTAGTACAGAAAGAATAGTCGCAAAATTGGTACTCTAAAAACTGAAATAACTTCTGAAAATAACACTATACAAAGCATTTTGTAGTATGGTTATGCTGACAGTCAGATTTGGATATGTCATGAGTCAGCCAGACTCGTGGCATCTCCAAATCTGGCTCGTGACATTGTTGCACCAATTTGCTGCATCATTTATTTCTCTCTCTTTCCAATCTGTGGAAATAAGTGAACCTTTTAATCACGCTAATCTTGGGTTTGGTCAGGCCCAAAATGTGCCCTGAAATCACAGATATCATCCATGAAAAAATCCTAAGTAGTCACTCCCCGGATTTAATCTTGGATCCTCTTTATCCACCTTGGCCATCCAACTTGCAGCATTGTCAAAATCCTTACCCTACTTCCTGTACGTTCTACTTTTATTAGATAATCATACCATAAAATATCATATTCTACCAAATTTTACCATTAAAAAATCAAGAAGAGAGTAATTTAAATGCTTGATTTTGTCAAAATAAGTTAGAATAATAGAAGATAAAATTTGTTATCAACTTACTAAGGTATGTAATTATATAATAAAAATAATCAAATAATACTGTATATCATACTAACATTAATTTTATTAAAAATTCAATGTAACAAAATAACAATAATATAAATGTAAAACCATGGAACAAGATAAAAACATGAGATTTAATGATCAAACTGTAAACAAATTCAAATATACTAATTTAAATTCTTCATTTAATGCTTACTATTGAAGAGTATAACATGTTAAAAGAAAATTGTAATTTTTTCTTTTAAATAATTAAGTATAGATCTTTCTACACCTTCCTTTCTTTAGTATTGGCAATACAGTACTTGATAAATGTTGTCATACATGAATGATTAAAGAGTATGTAATGTCACTTACACAGTTGTGGCATTCTCTCCCAGAGAACAGTTCCTGTTAAAAATCTGGTAAGTTTAAACATTTCCTTTGAATCCATGATTTAAAATATTAGACTCTAATGACAAATACATTGCTTGTGATAACAAAAGTATGCAACATTGAGATATCATATCAGAGGCTAACACTAGACTCATCAATAAACGTTAACTATGCAGGATGCTTTAAAAAAATGTTAACGCACATAAGGTGTGCATTCACTATGGTAGATAGTGTAGACATAACATTTTGAGAACTTCACAATTCAATTGTGACTTCTTGCATGATAGAGAACTATGCAAAAAATCCTGCCACCACAAATCTGGCATTAAATGTTACTTAATCCATAGTGTTAACATTTTTTTGAACCACACTGTATAGTCACATTGAATAAGCAATGTATAGAGTTTGACTTTGAGTAAAGTATGTTTGAAATCTTACGTAGAACAACTTTACTAGAGGATGATTGGAAGAGCTAATAATATTAGATCACCCTTATGAATTCTAGAACTGATCTATGTATAACTGCAGACTTGTAAATTGTAGTTACTTATGGCCATTGTCTCTGAAAGAAAAACAGGAACACACATTTGAAATCTGAACAGTGTGTTCAGATTTAGACTTAGTGAATCCTTCACCGAAGAATCAAAATTTCTTAGGAATATAAAAGAAAATACTTTGAAACAAATGTAAGCACGAGATGAATTTAAATGAGATTAGTTTCAATTTAAACAATTTATTCATAAAATTAATATGCTGTATAACTCTGTTCTTTATAAATGACATGAAACTGAAAATGCTTTTCTAACAAACATAATATTGACTGTCTTAATTACAATAAACAATTCTGCATGTTTATACTGTAATTTTAATATTTTAAGGGTAATTTAAAATATTTGAAGCACTTGTAAACATTATCATTATGATTATGTTCATGTCATGTATTTTAAAATTTCATATTTTATAAAATCTCCATTTAAAAATGCATAAACTAAAAAAATAAACAAAATAGCAGCTGTTATCTTTTTTAAAATCTTCCTCTTTAATATTTGTCATGTCTAGATTCAATTTTTGTAGGCAAATCAAATCTACACAGACTATATATTCATTGCTGAATAGACACATGAAAAAAAATTAATATTACAGTATATGTTCACTAATCTGTCATCTGATAATCCAGCAACCTCTAAAAAGTAGCTGATAACCCAAAATTCTCCAATAATAATCTTGTATGTTAGTCCACACATATGGTGCTCTAAAGCTCCAGATGGACATCGAGGCGAAAGTAGAGTCATGCACATTACTATATGTCAGGAGGTTGACCATGAAATCGAGAGCCTTGTGAGTAAGAAAAATCACTCATTCTGTTATGGCATTTTGTTTTGTGTTGGGTCAGATATTCAGCTTGCATGTAACTTACTAAATCAATACAGTAATCTGGTACCACTTGGGTCTTTAGATGCCAGATTAACAAACTTTCACTGTTTTTTTATTTTTGTTTTTAAAATACTAGGTCTGATCAAGAAGTATTCACCTTATTTTTTCTTTGCAAGTATTAGCAAGCTATAGAAGAGACTAGTCACGACCTTGGACACTACTGCATATGTGTGAATTTTGACAAGCCCATCCTATCCTGCAGTCATTGTCAGGCAACTGCAATAGTTGCTTATATATAATGTTATCATCACATCTATGATTTGGCAGAACATGACAGATCCTGATTTCATGAAGATTATAACCACAGAAGATATCTGGGTCTATAAGTATGCCTCTGAGACAAAGACACAATCATCTTAGTGGAAAATGTCATGGTCTTCATGGCCAAAGAAGCATGGCAATCATGTGAAGGTTGTGTTAACATTTTTTGACAACAAGAGCATAGTTTATCATGAGTATGCCCTTCATGGAAAAACTGTGACAAAAGAATACGACCTGACTGTTTTGTGTCACCAATGAGATGCTGTTAGGTGCAAGAGACCACAATTCTGACAATCTGGCAACTAGTTCATTCATCACAACAATGCTCTGGCTCACAGATCATATCTCATCCAGACATTCCTCACAGAACAGCGTATTGCACTGGTTCAGCAGCCTCCTTACTCCCCAGACATGGTTCTGGCTGACTTTGGTTCTTTTTCAGACTCAAGATGCCACTTAAAGAAAAGAGATTTCAGGGTGCAGAGGCAATCAAGACAAATGCAATGAAGCACCTGATGGAGATCCAAATAAATGACCTTGAAAAATGCTTCCAACAGTGAAAGCATTGCTGAGAGAAGTGTGAACTCAGAAGGGGCCTATTTTGAAAGGGACTAGGGTTTGAACCAAATAGATACGCAGGCATTTTTTTTTCCTGACCTCAGATTAAATACTTTTTGATCAGATCTTGTATATTGTATATACAAGTTAACATACACATATATCAATACTACATTTTCATATTTCATATTATACATCAACATGTAAGTTGACCTCAAGATCTTCACTTCATAATTCTTAGTTTGAGATTTTATACCTGGAAGTATAGTTTTAACCATATAATATAACACTGACACAACAGAATGCAGCAATTTCTTACAGTATAACAGAAAATTTATAGCCACTCGAGAAAGGTACAATGAGCAGTCAAACAGTAAATTCTGTTTGAACCATTTTTTGAAGCTGGCACTATAACTGGCTTACTTAGATTTGAGTAATACATCCAACAGTTTATTAAATTATAAATCAATTGTTATCAGGAAATCTTGCAACACCTCTAAAAACTTGTTACAATACTGAGCTGTTGTGAAAGGTTGTGAAACCACTGGTCTACTGTGTTGTCAAAATTTGTAACAGAATTTGTTACTGAATTACTTTTTTAAATTATTGTTCAATGACTCATTATTTTTTATTTTATTATTCAATTTAAAATGCTAAATAATTTAAATATCAACATAAATATTAAAATATGCATCAATAACAATGATATAAAACCATTCTGTACCTGAAAATACCACTTATGAATTTACTTGATGCAACTATTTCATATAGAATAAAAACTTTATGCAAAATTTGTTCCTTGTTACTCTGAATATACTAATTTTGCATTGAAACTTTAACCAGGTCTATAATTTTAAAACCACTACATACAAACATATATATACGAGTATCTATCTACATTTCTGGAACAAATAAATTTCAATATTGCTCTATCACATATTATTTATGTTTACAGTCATAAATTACGTACACGGATTGATACTTTCTGGAAAACGTACATCGTGGCAACCATATCCATGATCTCGAACAGGAACACGAAAGATCCGTCCACTGGGTACACAAACACAAACTTTATACCAGCGAGGAGAGTTGTCTTGTGGTTCGGCAGCTAATGGTATTTTGTCTACGGGGATCATCACACCGAGACGTCCATCCAGTATAATGCTCTGATTCTAAAAAGTTTAATTATTTATGTTTCTGTTTTACAATAGAACTGTAGTAACTAATAACAAAATTATTAAAAAGTCATATAATACTATTTATCAATAATATAAATTAGCAATAATTTAATTTTTATCAATTACTAATTAATGATTAATTTCTCTCCTAACCTTAGTAATCATTATTAAAAATTAAAAACTTAATTATTGAAGACAGTCTGTTGAAATAGGAATCATCATTTATTCTCTTTCAATGGTGATTCGTATTTCAACAGACTATGTCTTCTAACTATATTTTTTTCATTTTTAATAATTTAAATTTAATTACCATCTAACATTATTTTAATTAGTAATCATTTCTAAATGCTAGATTGTTTTCAGATTAGAATTAAGCTAATTATTTATTAATTAATCAAATTATGGAATTTGGATAAAAACACCCTCCAGATAAAAACATTTCCTGTATACCTACCAAGGATAACATGTTCCACAAAAAATGGAAATATATTAACATCACTACCTGCTCCCTCAACTTGCTACTTAGGGATCATGCATTTTCCATAAAAAAGGGACTAGCTATCACTGCTCTAGCAGCCTTTACAATGGAGAATAGCATTTGGATCAATCTAAATGAAGCTGCCATCTTACAACCAACAAGACAGTTTGCCCATCTTACCTCATAAACATCTTGAAAAACTGGAATTATACAAGGAAGTCAAGATCAATGGCCATTAATTATAAGGACATAGAAACCATTTCCCCTGCTTAGAAGTCTTTATACAAAGTATCTTAACCAATATTCCTCCATTACCCTCACATCATTCAGTCGATTCAGTTTAATTGGGATACATTGGGACTAATCCATTTTGCTCCAATTAACCCTTTAAAGCATGGCTTCTTAAACTATGGGTCGCGACCCCATTTGGGGTCACTTAGCGAAATCTTGGGGTCGTGAGATTTTAATGCAAAATATTGAAAATGGCACGCTTTGTATCATAGGTTTCGTGAGTTGCGCTTTGTGTCACTTCTGGTGCAGCGAGACAACGATTCAGCAACACTGATTGTAGTGTGAACTAGTGTAGTATTGTTGCTTTTCAGCATATTCAGTTGTCTCTGTTCTATTGTAACACAAGAATGAACTGTGGTAGTATACCATTATTGTTTTTGCAAATTTGTATACTGTATATCTTTATTTTATATTTTTTTTGGGTCGCAAAAAAAATCACAATCATAAATTGGGTCATGAATAAAAAAAGTTTAAGAAGCCCTGCTTTAAAGCATCAAGACTTAGCACTTTTTCCTACAATTAGTATTTTTCATTTGTTGGTACCTGTCATATTTGCAACAGCATAACACAGTAATGCAATCCATTGCTCTTTTATATCCTGACAGTGCAATGTGCTTATGATACAAAGAGCCATTGGTGTAGCACAATAATAAAGACTGGTTTTGTCAGCATTGTAAATATTATCTGAACAAAACTTCTCTAAAAAAGTAAGGATTTTAATTTTTTGCTATTGTTCAGCACTTACATTATCTGCACTGCCCTTTTTGCTGTGTGCTTTTTTGTATTTGATATTGTGTCTTGCTTTCCGTGAAGGAAACCAACCATCAGTTGCTTTAAAATCATTGACTTAGCTTTTTAGCAATCTCCTCTAACTTCGCCTTCAACACTAGACCACTGATATTTACGCCTCGTCCGCTAACTATAGAAAACTATCGATCTAATGCTTATTCAACTTCTGGATCCTTTCCATCATGCTTTCTTTTGGATGTTCCTGAAATCTTTTTGTAATGCCCACTCCTTATGCAGTTGATTTTCTTGTTGTAGGAGATGCACAATGCTAGATTTTGGTACACCAGTTATATCAACAAGTCTACGATGGTGTGTATTCTATGGCTGGCTTTTAATTTTATCCAGCAAAACAATTTTACTTGAAAGTATAAAATCATTTCTTGGCATCTTGGCAAAGATTTAAGAATTTTAAATAAAATTGACACTAAAACACCTTCCAAAAGAACTCTAGCTTTCTTCCAACTTGGTTGAGAAACACTCATAAAATTGTCTGGGGTCCTTGTCCCTTCACTTTTAAAGGGATTATCTGACACCAACGATAATCCAATCTGAAGCAGGGTCAGTAGCTCAAATTAAGACAAGTTTCTGATATGATACATTCCGCTATGCTGACTCTCCTCCAGAAAACTGAAATGCTCGAGCAGAAGACAAAACGGCTTTGTCTCTGCTAACTGTTAGGCCTAAACAACATTAGTGTTTAAACCTAATTGCTGATATATTTTTGGAAGATCCCTAAGATATATCAAAAATTACTAAATTCCTTTTCTTCTACTGTCCCAATTAAGCATTTATATCACATACACTGGAACCTCACATAACAAGTATTTCACATAACGAGCAAAACAAATTGTAAAAAAAAAAATGACTCGCCTAACAAGCAATGTTTCACTGAGAAGAGGGGAAGTCCCAGATTGTACACATGCTCCATCAGTCTGTGTTTAGTACTCATTCTGCTAGCATTTTAGTGTCGCTTGTGATCAAACATTTTACCAAACTTGTGTTCACACATGTTATGTATAAACAACAATAACCATTGCCCATTATATAATAAACACGCCAAACGATATGCCAAATTCTTGGGCTACGTAAAGGCTATAATTAAATATTAGAAATTAATTGATTCGACTAGAGGTAGGTAGTTAAGCTGCCATCTCGTATTAAATTTAATGATCAATTCCAAATTAAATTCCAGAAATGTCTAAATTAAAAATTAATTATTTATAATCATTAAATTTAACAGGAGATGGCAGCTTAATTAACTACCTAACTCTAGTCAAATCAATTAATTTCTAATATTTAATTATAGCCTTTACATAGCCCAAGAATTTGGAATATTGTTTGGCATGTTTATCAGACATATTATCTGTGATTTTTTTTTGTTTTCTGCAAATCGAATTTGCATTCCAGGTTGGTTCATTCTGTGATAGAAGAAAAGATGATGATGATTCATATACCTAAGCAATGTATATTGTATAATTTTCTTTGAATAAATGTTATACATAAAATATTTGAGTATTTTTTTCAGCATAGAACGCATTATCGTATTTTACATTAATTTATATGGGTTAATTGAATTCAAGGGTTGGATTTCACGCCAATCTTTGGTTAAACAAGAGAAGAACAAATTATCACACGGGCATTAATTACATATAAATATCGCTATATTTGCAAGCACTTTCGACATTTTATAACACATTGCACTTGCAAATATAGCAATATTTATACATAATTAACGCCTATGTGATAATTTGTTCTTCTCTTGTTTAATTTATATGGGAAAAACTGTTTCACTTAACGACTGTTTTGCATTACAAGTAGGATTCTCGAATGAATTATGCTCGTTAAGCGAAATTCCACTTATTAGTTTATTAGTTTGGTTTCTGTTCTTTGAGATTTTGCCAAATTAACCAGTGGCCCAATTAAACATAATCGACTGTATACATTACATACATACATTACATTGTACAGTATATCAATTTTCCTTTTTTTTTCCGATTTTTTGTGATGTGTGACATTGCAACTAAACATATTGTTCTTTTTGTTTAAAAAATTTAATTCTAATTGCAATCACTGTTCAAATTCATTAGGTTAAACCTAAAGATGACTGTTTAAAACAGTTGAAAACATTAGTTTGTCTATTGAAGTGCATGTTTTGCTGGATTTTTGGTGTTAGTGTGTTAATTTGAACAGAATTTGGCTTAAAGATGACAGATTAAGCCACTCTCTATGTTAACATTAAAAATTAGAAATTAATTTTAAATTTTAATTAAATAGTTTAAAAAATTCTAAAGAAAAACTCAACAGAGAGCAATATTTGAACTTTCAATTTGTTTTTACTGTGCAGCTGTATTACCTGTTATGTTATGTTAATTTAATGTCTCTATCATAACAGTGCTAATAATATAAGAAAATAATAACATTTCTATATATAAAAACTATATAATAATATGCTAGTACATGGATGTAATAAACTTATATGAAAATTTGCCTCAATATACTTTATTTACTTAAACATATCTAATATTTAATATAATATTCAGATAAATAACTGCCTTAATTAAAAGAGATAGCAATAAATTTTTTCAGATGTGAACTACAGTTTAAATGCTATATAGAATGATTCCTACAGGACAGAATGCAAATACCTGGTTTTAGAACAGCATTAATTGTTATAAAACTATTTTTAGATTAATAAAATGTTTTTAAACATTGACAGGCATCATTTGATTAATGAAGATGGGAGTTTAGCATATTGTGTCTACTCACAGCTCTTGATCCAATTATCTCTAAAAAATTATCAATTCCATTGCATTTCTCACAGTTTGTGAAACAGATGAAGTCAAACTAACTTGCAATTACTTTCAGCAAGATAGTGCAACATGCATACATCCACAGAATCCATGGTGATAAGCAAGAGTTTGTTTGTCAATAAGATGATCTTAAAAGGTCTGAGGTTATCGTAATCACACTAACTTAATACCTCTTGATTTCTTTTTATAAAATTTTCGTAGAAATTAATATACTGTAAAAATTCTTGTATGTTTGACATATTGAAAGAAAACATCAAAAATGAAATCAAGCAAATTGACATCACAACGCCAAGATGCATGCAAAAGAGTGTTGAAATATATCTGACAAAGAACAAAAGACACTTTGAGCATTTGATGTGAACTCTTGTACAGTATTAAACAAGATAATAGTCAATCGGATATTATATTTGTTTACCAATTCTGGTTTATAACCAAATATTTGGATATCATTCTATGTAAATTAAATGTACAATAAAGTGCTTACAATTTATAAAATTAAACTCACCACACTCTTAAAATGTAAATCTTGACCAGCTACCCATATAATCTCTTTGCCTTCCACTGTTAATCCTTCATTTCCCTTTAGCATGACTTGATATGGAGAGGATACTTCCAAAGACTGATTTGTTCCACTTGTAATCTAAAATTACAAATTGGCATAATCATATATTTACTCTTACATTCTACTATTACTGAAAAAAATTAATGTTCCCTTTTCAATACTATTTTACTACTAATATTTGTATCACAAACTATAAAATTTATCAGTTTAATATAAGTATTCTCATCTGTTTTACGAGTTCATCATTAATTTTCTTGTGAATCATCATCAGTTTCATTTTAATTCATAAAAATCTAAATGGTCATGATATAAGCATGCTATTTACAAATTATGCTTTAAAAATATGCCAAATTTCATCAGATTTTTTTAAATTCCATTATTTTAGACTGAAATACTAATATAATATGGATCCAGAGTGATATGGAATATGGATTAATATAATATAGAAGAGTAACAATATGGAGTAATATAATATGGAAGAGTGATACTGGATCTCAGGATCAGTATAAAAATTAAACATCAAAATATAAGTGGCAGAATTAATTATAGCAGTAAAATACAGCTTAAATATCAAACACTATTCAATTGCACTACCGGAGAAGTGTAAAATACTATTTATACATGATGTGTCAAAAAAGTTCAGTAAATATTAAAATAAACACAATAAAACAGAAGATACATAGCAATTATTTTTATTCGGCTTCAAGTACTCTATGAGACACAACACACTTTTAACAACATTATAAAGCTTTTGGAAAAAGTTGGAAAAGTCTTGTTTGGGAACTGCCTTAAGAACTACATCACACATGCCTGAACTGCAGAGATGTCAGCAAAACGTAATCCCTCACATTTTGCTGACATCTCTGCATATCTATGAAACAAACAAGTCTGCAGATGCAAGATTGGGGAAATACAATAGGTACAGTCACATCACACAGAATCTGATGCAGTATGTTGTGACTCCTCACAAAGATCACACAGTGCACTAGCACAGTGTTGTGGACCAAAACCCAATTTCCAGTCTCGCTGTACTTTTCCATCCTGGATGTACTTCAAACATTTCAGAACTTCCATGTTGTGCCATTGTTCCATTGCTCTTTGAAACCACCTCTCACTCTCAGACTGTGCTCAAATGACTGACAGAAGCTCACATGCACCCACTCATATTCCATACTAGGAGACACTTTCAGAAACATTCCTGGATGTTTGCACACATGCTCAAACTTCTTGCATGTGTTGCATTCAAGACATCCTAACAATCACCTAACTTTTTTAGACACACCATGTATACCATCCTTATGAAAATAATATCTCAAAATCTGTAATTTCACCTCAATTTGTACTTTCATTGGTTATAGCTTAAATTGAATCTCTATCTAAAGTTTTTGCCAGAACTTAAAATTATACATTAGCTTAGTATTAGATGTTAATTATAAAATGAACAATTTGATATACTAGATATCAAAATTCAATTTGATATACTAGATATCAAAATTCAATGTGATATATCTAGTATATCAAAAACAATTTGATATACTAGATATATCACAATAAAATATAAACTCAGACTTTGTTCAAATTTATTCAGAACTCTTAAATTATCTACAGCTATTCAACTTTTTGTATTCGATAAATACAAAAAGTTGAAATAAATACTGTTTTGTTCCTGTAGATAAATACACGACACATTGAATATTGTAAATTATCCAAATATTTAGTCTCCTATTATTAATACTGGTATTTAGATACTTGGTGGAAAAAGAAGTAATTGAATTAAATGTTTTTCCTCATTATTTCTAAATCTACAGCTTCAATAAATGTCTATATTTTTCTGCTTTTTTGAACATCTGTTCCATTATCATCTTTTTACATTCTGATGATGAGCTGAAAAGCCTGGAAGTACTAGGAATTACAGAAGATATTTGGTCTCCAAAAAAGCAAAAAAGTATAGATATTTCTTTTGAGCAATAAGTTTGTTAATGTTTCAAATGATAACTATAGTTTTCAAGAAAATATCCCAGCATATGTTTTCTTGTGTAATTCTTTTTACAAATTTTCTAATTTTTCAAAAGAATTATATGAAAAAACGAATTCTATTGAACAATTCTATTGAATTTATACTCCCATTACCATCATCATATGGTTTATTTTCTTTTGATTTAATTATAAATGATATATTATTTTAAATTTTCTCTATAAATAATTTATTGCTGTATAATATTAAACTAAATTATACTTACTCTGGAAACATGGGCTTCTTTAACATATAAGTTGGGAATACCTGCAGGTAATTTAAAATCTTGATATTTAGTAGAAAAGATGGTTTGTCCAGTTGACGGACTCCTCACTCTAAATTCTTCTACATCAGATATCAAAGTCCAGTCTGGACCAACTTCCATACTAGGACCAGTATTTTTTCCATCAGCATATGTAAAACCTTTACTGGTAGCATGAAGTATTACCTGATAATTTAACAAATGTCATTAGTACTAAAAATAAAATTAATTAATAATGAGACTATGTCCTACACTACTCAAGAACAATGCAAAATCCAGAAGCACTTTATGATTTTAACTTATAGAATGTATCTCATTTACCACTTTGGCTGCATTTTTCAATCCTTTTACATTTAAGATATGAAATTTACTTGAAATTAATGAGAAATATATGACAATATAATTAGGGATGTAGCCAGAAATTCCTGACTATGAGTCACCCACATGGCTAATGGCTTGCATATACTTAAGGCAGCCATACATGTTAAGTTAATCCTTTGAGGCTGCCTGACTTGAAGAACTTCAGAATTTCCTATTGCCCATATACAAAGAAGAAAATCTCTCAGCAGAGGCGTAGCTAGGGTGGGGCAAGTAGGGCACGTGCCCTGGGCGCCACGCACAGAGGGCGCCAAATGGTCTCCAAGACAAATAAGATTTGTTTCTGGGGGGAGGGGGCACCAATATAGTGTTGTGCCCAGGGTGCCAGTTATGTTCTCTATGCCATTGTCTCTCAGTCAGTCAATCAGTCGGCCATGGCATCTGATGACAACATACTGGCTGTTCTTGGATGTTTATTGGCAACAAATTCTATTAAAACTCGCAGGAAAAAAGTATGCATAGAAGTCTATGGTGTAAATAGTAGTAGTAGTAGTAGTAGTAGTAGTAGTTTGGGTAGCACTGATCACAAAATTAATTTTTTAGGTTATAAATAATAAAAGTTAATAAGGTTATAGAAAATAATTCTTCGAAACATTCACGAGACATTGTTCTAACTACTCAGCGGTCTCACAACTGAACGACACGCTGGCACACATGTTAAGGTCTGAACGTCACGACGGCACACATTTGATTTTCCTGCGCAGTCTGACACTGTGCAGGAAAATCAAATGGTTTTTCAATTCTACTCCGGTGGTTGGTACAGTTCACCAAAACTGTTAAGTTTTCCCCCACACACTATCAGGAATTACTCAAGGTCAGGCATGCATAGTTAATCCTTTCAGGATTAACTTAACGTGTATGGTGCCTTTAGCATAAGCAGGTAGACTACAGTGAAAACACAATAGCCCACAATTACTAGCAACACATTAATGTGAAAGGAGAAAACATTTGTTTAGACGACAATTAATTGCTGGTTTAATGGTAATTGTTTATTTTTAAAAGTATAATTAAAATTAACTAAATTTAACAAATACAGTAGACCCCCCTATAACGCTTAGATACGTTCCACGCTAACCGAAAATTACGCTGTAGGAACGATTAAATACATGAGCCAATTGCAGCCCGATAGGTGGGAACTTTACGGACTAAGGCTGTTTGAAAGGTTTTCTTCTATAAAATTAACCGATTCTAGACTAATTCCACTCAACATTTCCAAAATACGTATAATTTTTTGGGAATAATCTGTATAAACTATGCTATAAACAAAAAATTATAGGATTACTTACTGAGTGTGTACCGTTCGACTACGCCGTTGCTTAAAGCTGGTTTTCATCGCGGAACAGCACACGAAACGACGGCCGCAATTTCTGATAACGAATTTTTGGCAGAAAAATAACTTGACCTTTGGAGACATCATTAATATAAATAATTTTTATGGCCGTTGAATAAGAAGTGTTTCTTTCACAAGAAATGTATAAAATTAGTGCTGTATTAGACTTACGGTACCTAATTTACATACTGTGCAGACGATAATAAACTCAACTTACTAGCCTAAAATCTCCGTAGCGTGTTGCCAGGCGGCAGAAAGCATATATATAATTATAATAAACTTACAATAATTTAAGTTAATATATAATTATATATACAGTAGCTAATTTATATATAATTAATATATAATTATATGTACAGTACCTAATTTATATATAATTTATATATAATACTAAACAGACGATAGCAAACTCAATTTAGCCGCTCCGTAGCGTGGCGCAGGGTCGGAGGTAAGTAGTTCGGCTGCTCATCCACTATTGGTCCAGACTCTATCAATCTTCTCGCGAAACGACGTTATAGGAGGTACGTTATACGAAAGTTTCAACAATTTTTTCGCTACGTTATAGGAATTGTCGTTATAGGAACGTACGTTATAGGGGGTCGACTGTATTTCAAGAAAAACTTACTGATATAACAAACCAACTGGATAAATATACTACAAATAAAACACACCTTTAATAATCCAGCTAATAAAAATCTTTACCTACCACATGGCGATCCTTTTACAAGAATTAATGACTTTATTTATTTTTATTTTTGTTAAGGGACATTTTTTCGGCTTAATTTATATTTTTCGTTTATTTTATCAGCACAGTTACTTTTCCATTATTTATATTTTACTTTCGTATTTACGTTCTTTTTTTGTGTTTGATTTATTCTATGTTATGGTAACTAAAGAAGATCATTAAGAAACAATCAAAAACATTTTTACTTTATTAATTTTTATTAGTTGGATTATTAAAGGTTTGTTTTATTTGTAGTAAAAACTTACTGGTTGAGAATCACCAATAATTGGAAGATCTTTCTCAGCAAAACCACCAATTATACCGGAACTTGATAAAACTCTTCCCATATCTGCATGATGAAGAAAACGAAGCAGCAATCCCGGTCGAATAAACTCCATACTTTCCATCCCATATCCTATTCTTAGAACACTCAACAGCAACACAGTAACCTTAACAATCATCAAAAATAAAATTAGAAACTTCTGCATCATTATATGAAACACTTAACAAAAGACTTCAGCATAAAACTATCAAAAAACATACAACAAATACACAAAACTCAAGAGAAGAATATAAGACTTCTCTATGTAATAATCAGCTTTGAGTCAGAAAAAAATATTTTCTCAAATCCAAATTTAGTTTTCTATTGAACATTCTAACTAAACATCAATTAAATATTTGTTTATTCTATTTATCAAAATTCTGTTCTATCTTTTTCTTGTGCTTGTTTGAAACAAGCATTTGATTCTAAACAGAATTGTTACAACTTATAGTATTGTTAAATAAATAAACAGTTTTGCAAATCTGCTGCTGCCTTAAGTACAGAACAAGAATACAGTTTCCACATTGTAAGAATTTTTTTGTTTATATTTTTTTTAATAAAAAGCTTATTATTACAGTGAGTGATTGGTTAACAAACATAATCAGTTCCAAAACTTTGTTTGTTATCCAAATTGTTCATTAACCGATTATCAATTTACCATAGGTTTTTATGGGAATTTGATTAATTCATTCCAGAGACTCCAAAAAATAAAAAATATATACTTTTTTACTACGTTTATTTATATGTAATAGTAAAAATACATATATATGCAGTCTTGCATTTTTATTAGTCATGTTTTTTCTGTTTGTGGGGGTTAAAGAATCTGTCCAATGTCGATTGCTTTTCTCTTTTCTTCAGGATTTTTCGAAAGTAATTAATAGTATTGTAATTGTAGAGATCCCCAACTCCATTAACCTTATTCTGGTTTGGATGCCACTTGGATGGATGATCATTGTTCTGACATCCCTAGAGTTCTTCTGTCGTCAGATCAGTTTCAGGTTCTATTATGAGCTCTAAAATGCTGTTTATTTCTCAGATGTGATTTTCATTACTCCATTAGCAGCTTGAGACTTCTTGATATATCTTTCATAGCTAAAATTGTGCCTAATGTAGACCTGTTCAAGCCATACTGCCTAGCAACATCAAACATCTTGTGCCCCCTTTCTACCTTGGCTATTATATCTTACTTGGTTTCTATGGTGAGCACAGTTCTTGACACTCCTCTTTTTAGGCTCCATAATATTATCAGTTTCTTTTTTAAATAGAAAGTTCAGAAAAGCACTTACAAAAATTCAAAGAACAGAAATCAACTAGCCCACAAAAAATTATTTAAATGCAAGGCCCAGATAAAATTGGAAATTTGGTATTAAAACGTTAACGAATATCCGATGGGACAGTTAAACTTTCACCTTTCGTAAATAAACCCTAATGCAAAACTTAACAAGTGCCCGTCCAACAGTCTTGCAAAGACTATAAAAAATTATTTGTTAGAAAGGTAAACAAAAAGCTGGAATTACAAAAGAAAGTTTCAAAATTCGGAGGGATACTATCTGATCGGTATCAGGTTGAGCGTCAATGATGACGTCTGCCGTGCTCCGAAAGGTTTTGAATTGTTACGTGAAGACAAGGGAAAATCAATCAGTATTTGTTATTTTCCATCACTTCTTTTTATGTTTGTTCAGTAAAGTGTTTGTTATCCAATCATAAAAATCTTTCGCAAAAGTGTTCATTATCCAATTTGTTCGATATCCAAACTGTTCATTAACCGATCAACCACTGTATATTAAATGATTAATGAAAATAATGATCATAAAACTGGGCAAGGTTACAGGATCACTGGACAAGTAAACCTAATGATCCTGTAAGATTCTGTGTCCTGTTGAGTGGCAAGCCAACACCTTAATCACCACAAGATGGTTTAGGTGTCACTTTACCTTCAGTCATCTTTACATTGTTTTATATACACAACAATCAATATTCTTAGATGCTTGTAAAATAATAAATATAATACTTACAGCAAGATTAGCAAGTGCTATGATAAACAATAAAATAACTAGAGCATAAAATAGCATTCCCTTTCTTCCTCTGAGACCAGTTTTATGCAAATAAGGTTCATAGATTGGAACATATCCGGCTTTAAAGTTACTATTATGTTGTTTATTAATGTGATGCTTCAAAAGAGCTTTCTCACGCATGGAGAGAGTACTATTTCCCTAAAAAAATTAAATATAATATTTTAAATATATTCATATAGAAAAATTATTTTATTGAAAACTCATTACTAAAATAAATAATTTCTCATGTAAATATTAATCTTGATTTACACATTTTCAATTTAAATGAAATTTTTTTCGAATCAATCAATGGGCAGGCATAATTAATTAATTATTTGCAGTAAAAGATGTTGTTATACACCAAATTATTAACTCAAGAGTTAAACAAATAAAAATTATTTTCTGTAACAAGAAAAAAATAACCCCATTACATTTCACATAGTCCTTTAACGCTTCATTAATCACCACATTGCTGGAGGAGTTTGGTAACTGCTACTAATTAAGGTCAAGCTAACAGTGCATAATTGATTAGAGTGATTTATTTAATGAGAGGTGGCATCTTTTTAATGGCCAAAAACAAGTAACAGTCATCCAAAGCTGTCTAATTAATATGAAAGTTAAAATAAATCTATAGATAAGATAAAAACATCCATATATAAAGAATATATTAGAGAGATGAGCCCTTGAAATTTTCAAGACAAACAGACAAGAAACTGCATTAACAATAAGGAAGAAAGAGCAATCTCAAAAGCATGACAGACATGTTTTGACAGTACTTTATGAACTGCATATCCACGCATTGTGTAAAGTGCACACGACATTAGATTTAAAGAATGTATTCAATTCAAATGAACATTCCATTATTCAAATTTCCTGATGACGACTTCCGAATAGGTCAAAAAATTAGAAAGGTGATAATTTTGACGACAGCTGAGCTAATTTTTCAGGTTAGTGAGATTTTATGTAATAAGCTGTCCAGTTAGAACTGCTGGTTGATAGAAATATTCATAAAAAATAAAGACTATTTTAAGCTCTGAGAAGTACTGAGCACAATAAAACACAGCAGTGTTTCTCAGGAAAACTTTCAAATATATTAAAATGATATTTTAGCAGAGAAATTTATGCTTAATAGAACAAAACCTAAGTTATATGACCACATCTCAGCAATAAGAATAATGATTTTACTAATTATTCATGTCACATATATCCATCAAATATTCACATAAACTGAAAATCACTTAAGAAAATGTTTAAAGATCCAAACCTTCAATAAGCAAAGAATTCTTTATCTAAGCTCATTTATATCTCAAAATTAGAAATGATATATTAAATGATACTTTTGAAAAATGTATTAATTTGCCCACTAAATAATAAATATTCTGCACAAGAAGTTCTCACAACTTTTTGAGTTAATAACACCCTCACAACTTCACGATTGGGTTTGAATTTTTAACATGTGACATCAAAAACTTTGTTTAATCATCAAAAATATGTAAAAAATCTGAGCTCTCATATCAGCTTTTAAACAAGAAAACAAAGCACATATTAACAAGCTAAAGGATGTAAGCAAGTTGCCCAGTGTCTATTGAGTACTTGCAACAAATCATATGTAACAACAATTGCAACACATACACATGTTGATACTGAATACCATTTTTGATTACTACTCTAAGTCAATTCCACTTCTCAACATTCTATAATAAAATACAAAGCCTTATAGTTTCCTCTGTGTCAAGATGATTATATAGCTTATTTGTTAATGTTATCTAATGTTGAAAAAATACACATTCTACTGATAACAAACTACTTGAAAGTTAAAGTAATTTTACTTAAATTGGACAAATGACAGGTGTGTCTTTTGAATTTTTGAGACTGCTAAAATTCTTAATAAAAATTTAGTTTATTCTTTACTTATATTTTGGTGATTTCACGAGACCCCGCCACCAACCTTTCAATTTTATTCATATTGCTTTGGAGAAAGATTATTATTAAAGATCTGCTTCTGCCTCAAAGAAAATTGCATAAGAAAGAGCATCAGTCACTCAATTTCTTATAAAGTCACTCTTTTTCTCTTTGCTCTGCACTTAACAGCTTATTCTTGTAAGATATCTGTCATGTAAGTCAAGTAGTGGAGTGACTTTCCATTCTCTTCTGTATAACTGTAAACATTCATGAGTTGCATATGCTAGTGTAGTAGCATCATTCTGCAGTCAAGTCAATGCTTCAAAAATTTCTGACACTGTTTACTATAAGGAGAAGTAGAGTTGGGTGTTCTTTTAACTATGCAGCTGAGTGGCGATAATTACAAAAGTACTTCTGCACCTCTATCACATGTTGGTATTATTTCTGAACCAAAAATTTAGCTGAGCAATCATACACAATTGAATTTCCTGTAACAATCATTTCATTTTTTCTATTTTTCAATTGTTATGAATGATACGACAGTGCATCCATACTTATCGTTTGCTAACTTCATACTTTGTTTAGTAATATCTTTGCAATATTCAGCAGTTTACATGTTAGTATCACAGTCATTTACCGTATTTTTCGCCGTATAAGACGCACTTTTTCTCTCCAAAATCGGGAGGAAAAAAGTGCCTGCGTCTTATACGGCAAATACAAAAGCCCAGCATGGCCCTCCGCTGCCCCTCCACTTCTGCATACATACATAAACGCAGGAATACTCGGCCACTCCGTTCCCTTCCACCTCTTGGCGCCGTCTGATACCAGGAAGCTCCGCTCTGCCTCGCACTGGCTTTGTGCGGTCTTTGCCTCGCGCTGCGATTGGCTGGGCGAAGAGGCACATGCCTTCGCTCTCTCCCGCGCTGGCTTTGTGCACTTTTTAGAGTCTCGTAAGCCAGCACGGGAGCGGGTGAAGGCACTCGTCTCTGCGCTCAGCTAATAGCAGTGATATATGTAGTATGGTATATCTGAATGAAATATATCATATTTCATACCACCCCATCAAGATGTCAAAGCAGAAGAGACTGTTTATGATAGTAAAGATAGCTCTTAGTATGTTACATGGTTGACATAAAATTTTTCTTAACTGCTGTTAACTTTATACAGTTGATATAAAATATTTTACTACAGAATTTGGTTCATAATCTTTTTTTTTCTGAATTTGCCTCCTTTAAAATTGGGTGCGTCTTATATGCCGGTGCGTCTTATACGGCGAAAAATACGGTAT